CATATTTGGCTGAAAATCTGTATACTGTTTCAATGATAATATGTGAACGTAACATATATATTCTGTCACAGAAGTCTAATTCCCATAAAGCTATTATAAGTGAAAAAATAACAGCTTGGATACAATATTTCATAGAAAATGATTTTCTTACTATTGATGAACTTACAAATCAAATTATGTCAATTTTACAATTATCTTGGCCAGAGGTAATTTTTCAAATATTTAAAAAAACTTACACAATTTAAATTCAACAATTTTTTTTCTTTAGGATACGTTAAAATGTTTATCGATTTGCTTTAAAGATCTTAACAGTGTATGTATAAAGAAATTTGACGATACTAAGGTGCAAGAGTTATTCATGTGGTTAACACATTTCATGGACTTGATTGAGGATTACGATATAGATTATTGAAAATAATGCAAACAGAGATATTTATTTTTTTGTTTCCACTTTTTTTTATACATTTATTACATATATTGAAATTTTTTATTTTTTTAACGAGACTGAATTTTTACTAGATCAGATTGTATAACTAGAATTGACAACTTGATCTCTTTTTAAAATCATTCTAAAATATTTTCTTGTGAACCTTAATAATTATTGAATTATTTTTTTAAATTAGGAATGTGAATATTGAATTTTGTATACATATTAATATTTGAAGTATTATAAATAAATATAATTGAATCTCATAATGCATATTATGTTCTATATAGTATATACTAATAATTGATAATAGTATATGAATAATCCTTATTTAAGGGGATTAGATCACAAATAGATTTTTATCAATACAGAATGTAGACACTTAGTACAATCTTGTAAAAATGTTAATTTCAAACTCTGCTCTGTCACTTTGTACTATTACAGTAGTATGTACATAAAGTTTATACTATGTTATAAAAATTGATGAGATTTAAACCTTATTTTATTTATTTTATATTTAAAAATAAATTAAAGATGTTATAAATAGTTTATTAACAAGCCAAAATAATCCAAGTTTTTAAATTATCAGATTGGCAGTTAAAACCACACATTACTTGGCGCTTAAATTATTATATGTATAAAAATTATGATTGTATTTTATTCTAAAAAATGCTATTAAGAAGTTAATCAAAAAATAACACAAATAAGTCAACACTTATTTTTTAATTTATATATTAGTCACAACCAAACATTACTTTGGTTACTATGATATATATATATTTTATAATTATGGTACCATATTAGATGTACTAAATGGTATTTAAACTTAATTTTTTTTATGTAATTGGTCATACTTAAGGCTTTTTTATATTATAATTACTTATACCTTTACTAAGCTATACTTTATGTATATAATATTACAAAGTGTCCGCGATTTACAATCTTTAGTTTTACTTAAATGTTATAATCACTTACTACGCACACATTTACACATTTATAAGACATACGACCCACATGCACAACTTAGACAATTCCCTGTATTTGATTTCTTAAAATCAATTGGTATCTAATCCCTTTAATAATATTATAACTGGTTAAAAATAAAAATGCCTGCCGATAATGGACTACAAAAGTGTTAGTTTAATTATTTGTGCTTAATAATAAAATGTAGTACTATAATTTTATACTAATTTACTTCATATTATTAGAAGTTTTGACTAACTATAATTATAATTTTACTTTCCAACTAAATGTATTAATTTAAACATTTTTTTTTTTTTTGGAGATACATTCTTACCCCATATAATTTTAGGTAATTATCTATATTATGATACCATAATATTAAATATGAAAACAATTAAATTAATAGAAAAAAGTATTTATGACTGTAAACAAATATTAATTTATCAAGTTGGTACTTTGAATTAAATAACTATAATATTTTCAATGATTTTGTTGTATCTTTGATTTGAATATAAATAAATAAACTTGTAAAAAAATAATTTTTGAATATAAATATTATTAGTATAGTACATAATACAGCCTGCCCTGAGTATAAATAGTCATTGATTACATTTTACAATACCAAATTAATTTTTCTTCTGGATTAATTAAAATTTGTCCATGAATATACGGCAGAGCTAATACATTAAACTGTTCTTTACCATGTTGTTAAGATAGATGGAATTTAATCATCATAATGTTGAAAATTACTTATCCACAGTTACTGTTGTAATAGCTGGTAATGTTCCACAATTTTTAAAAGTGTATACACATTTAGATACCTAGTAATAACTAATTAATAATTCATTAAAAAACTATATAATAATTTTGAATACAATTATTTATTAATTCTGTTAAATTGGATGCCAATTTTGAAGGATAAATGCCTCTCTTTCCCATAAGTGATAAACGAATAAAAACTTTAAATTTAAATGTATAAAAGCAATAAACCTTAGGTACTCTCGTATTTTATAAAGCATGTATAGCTATGCTAATATAATAGCATTATTCATGCATCATGCATGTGCTAACTCTTACTCTTACATCACTTGCAATAAAAATGATGAATAAACTTAAATAATATTATATTTCTGCCTAATTGAGGTCATATTAATTAATTTTAAGGAATGGAAACTGGAAAAGTATCAGACCTCTTGGTTATAACATTGATAAAACATTGAAAGAACATGATAACAAAATATTATTAAGTTAAAGAATATTATATTTTATTTTTCATTACAAATATTATTATGCATTTGTACAAAACATTCAATTAGAACAATAACTAGGTAAATTATTAAAGTAAAAAAAAATGTTCATTATTATATTATATTATTATAATGTTATAGTTGGCTTAACACGAAAAACGTTGCGAAAGTGTTCCTCCCCAAAATTTCTACATACGGGTGGGGAGGGGCAATAGCTCATCATGCCTCTCCCTAAATCCCTAAATATGTGCTCAGGTATACAGTACAAAATATTTTCGAATTTTCCTTATATTTATAATTTTTGATAGTTGAATTTCACACTAGTAGTTTCATGTTATACTTGTACATGAGGTAGGTCGTAGGTCGTAGGTATCGAGGTAGTAATGTTAAAAGACCTTTTAAATAAATTAAATTAAGATATTTTTATCAAAAATACCATGAAATGATTGCATTATATTTGTACTTATTTTGGGTACATCTAATTTTAAATCAAAAAAGCGATTCCTAAAGAACATAGTCTAGAAGCTAATAAATTCAACCATTTTTTCGAAATTTTAATCGGACTTCAAGGAGTATGTTAACTTACTTTTCATTAACTTACTACCTATTTCAGTAGTTTTTATAGCTATGCAAACAAGAATATACTTCATTTTTCTCCATGTATTGACATGTGCCAGAGTTGAAACCGGCGGTGGTTGCCTTGCCCGACGCGGCGTGACAGCGATTTTCGGAAACACACACTAATGTTTATTTACTACTCACACATAGACATAATATCCGAAATGTCCATATCATATGAATTGCCTAAATATTACTCCTTGAAACTGGAAAAACACTCTTAAGATATACCGGTTATTCAACACTTTATAGTAATTGGTCTCTTGGTACTTGGTAGGTACCTTTTAAACGATATTATTATAATTTATTAATGTTGACGTTTAAAGTAGGTATACTTTGTGAAATGGTGGTTTTTGATTCTTCGATGAAGTTATTGGGCAATTTTAAAATTTAAATATTTTCTTTTTCTGTGTTAAGTCTATTGTAGCCTTTAGCTTTTAGGTTGTTATTCATTGGCTCAAAACACAGAGGTGCCAAGGGTACTTAGCACCTTGGATTTTATTACTAGCACTTCGAATTTCGTGATTATTCTATCATGGGAAAATAGAGACTATCGGACATTTGGACTTATCAATTATCCACATAGAAAGAGATATGGATAAGTATTTAGTCCATATTTATTTATTTATTTATTTAGTTAACTAAACTATTTTAAATAAATATGTTGAAAAACAACTGTTCATTGTAATAACATTTCTAGTAGGTATAATGATTAATCACAGTGAAACTTCCATGATAACAAACTTCCATTTTTCTGTTAAATTAAATATTTTTGAGAACCAAATTTATTTAATTATATTAAAAGAAGTTTTCTATATTATGAATATAATATTTTTCATTTGTTGCAAATATGAGAATTCGTAATATGGATGTTTCAAGGCACCCATATAACTTATTCATAAAAAAATAGTTATTTGTTTTCCATCAAATGTAATAATTACGACTGTGGATTCAGTGCAGTAAACAATTTTAAAAATGCATTTAAAATATCAAACAAATTCACAGCCCTATATAATAATTAAACTATATTGATTTAAATCTATAATTTATTTTATTTTATTAATAGAGATATCAAATGCAACTTATAAAGAGTATCAAAATAAATAAAAAGTTGGAAGAGCACAGCCTTGTTGCTTGATCTGAATTGTAGAAAAGTATTAAATAGTAGTTGTGGGACCTAGTGACTGGGATTTTTTTTATGTGTACCTACATACTTAAGTCTTATATTTATTGGGCCGGTCATTACTATTGTTATTATTATTATTATTATGCCCTACCCTGAAAAATATTGAAATAATGCTCCTGACCTATAAAGTATAATAATATGATAATAATATTAATAATATTAATATGATACAGCATCTACGTATACTTAGTGGTTTTAAGTATGGCTACACAATTTAAATGTCCAACTCGTTATAAGTTTAAACTCTATCTATATCCGCTAACTAAATGTTTAAATCTATCAATTTGTTATTATTTTTTACACTATACAAGTAACAATAAGCCAAACCTAAAAGTAGAAAACGTATACTTACCCAATTGACAGTACATTTAACAAGGTTTCGAGCCTAAAACTAGAATTTTATTTTAGAAAATTATATCTTCGTTTACATTTTTTTGTTGACAATTCGTCATGAAGTGTTAATTTATTTAATAAATACAATACTCATATATCTCATATATCATATACTACTCAATATAATACAAATTATCAATATCCAGTGGTGTAAGTACGATTTAGCCCCCCAAATATATGTCTCATTGATTTAGGTGTGTAACTTTACTGTATACCCTCGATGGGTTGTTTTAAATTAATAGTTGTGTTATGTGAGCTGTAGCCCTTCTAGAATTGTAACTCTAGTTATTGCTCCTATATCAATATCGTGGTTATAATAAACATACATTTATACACACCACTTATCCACCACCCAAAACTATCAGGTATATTACAATTTATAGTCCAAGAACTTAGCTACTTAATATTATCTTAGTAGTTAATATAATAGTATTACAATAATCTGTTAAAAACGTTTATCGACTAAGATGTGAAAAGAGTACAAACACAACAATCCGAATAGTTTTTTTCCATATTTTATAACTAAGAATAAAATTTTTGGTTATTGCATTGATATAGATACATTGATGTGTTTTAGGTTGTGTACAATTTAAATCCATGAGTTTTTTTACCAATATTTAATACTTAATTTCTTGTCTTGGCTCCATTTTCAACCAGTCTATATTAATAAATACAATTTTAAACCAGTTAATAATAATTAAAAATCAAAAATTGTTCATTAAAAATGGTATATTTTAGACATTATATAGGTACGCACCAATTAGTGCATGGCATGGATGAATTGTAAACGGAGTGCCTATTTTTTCTAGAATTTAGACTGATATAAGGAAGAAATGCACTCAGTAGGCAATCTTACACATTCAAATCTAAACGGTTCATATTCATAAACTATCTATAATGATAAAATCAAGAGAATTGCACTGTCATTTTTTTCTCCAAACAGATTAAGAATTATTTTATGTCGTACTAAATAAATCCTAGAAGCCAGAGATTGGTTTTCTATGATAGTATTCTATTGAAATGAGGTGACTCACGGGTTCAAATCTATACATACTTTTTGAGGGAACGCAAATGGAAGTTTATTATATACCAATAAGTAATAACATTGATTTTATTGGTAATAGATTCATAACATAAACATATTTGTTGTTCATTAAACTGTAAAATAAATTATTATGATATATTATAGAAAAATAAATTATGAAATAGTAAGTGTATTCAGTAGCCTCATCTGGAAATATATCAGTATGATGAGAAAATAGTATGTAATATTAGCGCAGAAAAAAACGTTCTTGAGTTCGAAAGTTACGGTAGTGACATAATGAGACATGCAGGCAGGGTGCAGAGAGTGGGTGCAGACAGCACACATAATGTGATGGGTGTTACATGTACACTGTAATAATATGATCGTTTACTACTTACACAATCTTTTTATAGACCTATAAATAAATGGTCAGATAGAAGAGAGAAAGAGAGAGAGCCAATATTGTTAGAAAAAGATAGTCACAGAATTCTATAATAGATAGGTACTATAACAGTATGGATAATTGTGAAGATAGAATTCAACTTGGTCAATCAATCAGTCCCTTAACCAGTAACATTTTTTTTTTTTTTTTTGGAGAGGGCATTTAATTTTTTTTCGTTCTCATGGAACTAGAAAACTTTTCACCTGTTGCTTTATGACACCATTGTTCACCGAAAACTATTTCAGGGGGTCACTTGCCCCTTCCCCTTGGTTACTGCACTGCAATTGTTGTTCATTAATTAGAGTGAGAGAGGGAGTGTGTGGGACGGGGGAGAGATGTAGTCAAAGAGAGTGAAAGAGAAGTTTAACAACAAAGTTCATTACATTTTTGAAAAATATAGAACACACCGTGTAGAATTACAGGTCCTATCATAGGCACATGTATTGAACACAGCAAAGGAGTGAGTACAAGGGGTGGTAGGGTGGACAGCTCTCTACCCAATGAAATAATATAAAGCGACTTGCATATTCTTGATATACTTTTTGAAAAATGTATTTTATTTCGAAATACTAAATACTAAATAGGTACTGATTTTCATTTTATTGTTGTATTCCAATGACCAATATTTCCTAATTTTTGTATTTTAAATTTTGTTTCAAATATAATACATAATAATGGTACTAAGAATTTATATAAAGATTTCATAAATTAAGAAGATAACAGAAAAGTTAACCTAGTCGGTTCCAAATCTGAAATATTTTAACCTATAAGTATATAATATGTAAGTATTATTTAACTATTTAATTTAAATATTTTCAAAATAAAAAAAAAAAAATAAGTTTAAGCATCTATTTGTGAAGTACCTATTTGTAATGTATTTTGAATGCTTTTAAAAATTATTTTTTATGTAAGTATTTTGAATATATGTCAAAAGTATGGAAAATGTCAAGAATTAATAATTTATGGAATTACACATCCACACTTTCCATTGTATGGGTACAAAACACGTGGGATCGTAAATTGCCTATATTAAATTCCTTAAAAACAGATCCGTTCACAACACTCTTGAATACTATATATACCTACATAGTAGCATAATTAATTAATAATTATGCTACTATGTATAATATCTTCTCGTTAATTACCCGTCAAGATATTGTTTGTTCGTTGTCGTTTTTTCCAGTAGGACTTTTGGCAGGAAGTTGACTCCACGGTTGAAGTTTAATATCTGATATGCTCAAACGGACTTTCAGTGGAGCGAGTAATTTTATTATCATCTGTTTACAGGTATCGGAAATAACTACGTCTCGAGGGAATGAAACTGGCTTTTGTACTTGCTAGTGAAAAAAATAAGACAAACAAATATTCGTTGCTAAATAATTTTTGATATTACATTAATTATCTATTACTTACGTAATCAGTGGCGTGGTGAGAGTAATAACAATTAGAACCCAGGGATAGAGTAAATATTTAATATAAACCCAACCAAGAATCCTTCAATACAACCTACTCTCAGCCCTCGAGCAACTTCAACCAAATTTCTAAAAAATTATTCTTGTTCTATCCCGGATCCATGATTTTTATCACCAGGAATATAATACGAGTTCACCGCAGCACTGAAGACAGCATGTTGATATATTATATAATGCTTCAAACAATTTGGTACCTACTTTCAGTAACTTTTGATAAGTTGTATCATCAAAGGGCAGAGTTCCAAATATCATGGCGTAAAGCACTACTCCGATGGACCAAATGTCAGCTGTATTGGGCTGATAGGGTATGCCTTTCAATATTTCTGGTGACGCGTAAGCGTAACTGCCGCAGAACGTGCTGCTCGTTTTCATCTGACCGTTTTTCTTTATCATTTCATTTCGAGCGAACCCGAAATCCGATAACTTGATATTGTAATTGGTGTCCATCAACAGGTTTTCACATTTAATGTCTCTGAAAACAAAAATAATTTTGATTTCTGTGTAAACAACGGCGGTTCATCTATAACTGGGGTCGCCAACCTTTTCCAACAAGTGAGTCAGTGGTGGTACAGGAGTCACTGCCTCCCCCCTCCCCCGTCGCCTACATTTCTTTTTATTAATTTTATATCGGTACCTACTTACGGTCCATAGATAAGTTATAACACCTATATGAGTAGTAATATAATACTGTAGTAGTTATATGAATTTAATATGTATTATAGCGATGTATTTATTTATTTTTTTTGTTAGTAAAGTTACAAATGTAAGCATAGATAGATTAGTATAAATCATTTTTAGCGCAAGTCATCCAAATTGGACATATGATAATTCATACTACTGTTGTACGATATTCACTATAATAATCGAAATAATAATATAATATTATAAAATATAAGGATATAATAGTACCTCATTAAGGTATATATTTGAATAAGTTGTTTGTAATATATTACTATTAATAATAAGTTGTTAAATATTTTATTCATATCAGCAGGATATATTGAATATTATACCTGGTCATATAATATGAGTATACGAATTATCTCAATTTTTGTAAATTGAGTGAAAACAATACAAATATATAATTTCCATAAGGTTTTTTATTGGCCCCATTTTAGAAATCCTGTCTACGGCATCACTAAAGTGAGTTGAACAATTAAAGTATCTGGGTGATAGTCCACTATGATATTTTTCACTTAGTAGAGGCGTGTACTGTACTTCCTACTGTAGTTTTAAATTGACATTTTATTTTTTATATTTCGTCAAAATAAAATATTAAAAACTGAAATTTTTGAACTCTAATAACGTATAATATAGGACACTTAGCATTGGTACCTGTGTACGACTCCTTTTGAGTGACAATATTCTATTGCGTTAACAAGTTCCATGAACCATTTTCGAGCTCTATCGTCGTCTATTTTACCGTCTCTTTTGATGATGTCCAATAAACTCCCATTTTCCGCGTATTCCATAATGATGTAAACTCTAAAATGTGATTTAAATATTTTTCTATTGATGCACAATATATAGGACATAGGTATACATAACAACGAACAAAAAAAAGTATTTATATATAATGATTATTACCGGTGTGTTGTTTCGATCGCTTGATAGTATCTGATTAAATTATCGTGTTTTAGGCCTTTGACTACTTCGATTTCTCTGGGTAGAAATTTTTCCAAATAATCGGTCGCCTCCTGAAGTTTTGAAACTATTTTAATTGCCACATTGGTCTTATGGCGTTCGGAATGTGCAATCTATGCATATTATTTTAAAACGAATTATATTGTATGTTTTTTTTATCAATAATTATTTTAAAAAGACAGTTTTCATTGTGTATTGTGTTAGCTGAGAGTTTAATAGATACTATTATATGAATTATACAATTTATAACCTTAACGGTAGCGTATGATCCAGTACCCACGCTTCGGCCAACAGTGTAACCGTGCGTTTCTAATACCGAAAGCTTTTGATCTTTTGATTTTTTCTTTTCTTTTGATTTGACTTTTTCTGGTTTCACGTTAGTGTTTGTGTTTTCTGCTCCATCGGCCATTCAAATAGTTTTGCTTTATTGTACAATTTTTTTTTTAAATCCCTATATATATTTATCTATGAATTTATTATTTGTCCAAACAAATTTTTTTTGCGTATCCATAGTTCGTTTTATTTAACGTTTCCGTGCACAGATATTGTTTAAAATCTACAAAACGTTCGTCACCAAGGCTACTGTAGTACCTATAATCATATGGGCACCTATATTTAATTATTCGAATTTATCCCGTAGCGGTCAGCCGTCGTCCGGTACGACGCACCGTCGCCGACAATAATAATATTATTTAGGTTACCCTCATACACAAATTAATAATACCTATACTTATTTCGTATTTCCCAGTTTGACGACCGGCACGGCGCAGAGCATAAATTGTCACCGACATCATCTCATTATAATATCATACTATTCATAATATTGTGTCGGTATAATCGTTATGGCTTCCAACGAATCGATAATTGACAAATACATACTATCATAATAAATTGACAATCATACATTATAAATCTGATCCTGTACGGTGTACGCAAGTAACAAATTAAATTTCTGCCGATTAACCCTTTTTGAGCTCAGCCAAATGTATAAACTGCAAAGATTTTGAACACTGATATTTTGGATTGTTTTGACCAAATATAAAAAAACAGGTCTAATTCTGTGGATTTGCATAAGGCTTATTAATTTAGGCCTTTGATTTTATACAGTAATTATATTTTTCATAACTATAGAGCTGTATTATTTGCAGACTTCACTCAGAATTAAAACTAATCTATCTTTCTATTGTTTTCGTTTTGTTTTAGTTGGAATATACAATACAAATACAATTACAATGATTAATTTTGTGATTTTCCATTTCAGATTTACCGAATGCTTAATAGCCGACGTAACTCCAATATTGTTGAAATTGTTATTTGTCTTATCGATTTTTGAAAATATTTTTTTGCATAATTTGATATAATTTCAAAAAAACATATCTGAAAAAAAAAAATTTTCTACAATTTTGTTTAATCATTTTTTTTATGTTTTATATTATTTTGAATAACATTTTTACATAATATACATTGAGCGGAGCGATAAATGTATTGATTTTATAGAGATGTGTGTTTTTTTTTGTGTTTTTCATCTTCTTTTGAGACAGCAAAAGTCGATTTTCTTCAACTTTTTGAGCGTTATGCAAGATTCCTTATGAATTTGCCTTCCTTTTAAATCTATATGATCTCACCCATCAGCTGTGTATGATAAGCTAATAAGCAAGTCCTTATTAGATCTAGCTTAACATTCCAATTTGTAGGATTTATGTAAGTCGTTGCCAAGTGCTGCAACATCGTCGCTTTCGTAAGTCTATTATTCCCAGGGCTTAGCAACCACGAGTACGTAGGTATAGACGTACCAATAGTCTCATTACCTCACGCAGAAGAATTTAATTATATCGTCTTCGAATTGCTGAATGAACTTTTTTATGTTTTAATTTAAAAGTGTAAATAAAATAAATATTTTTGTATTAAAAAACAGGTAATTGAATTGATTATAAATACTAATATATTTTATAATGAACGACAATAGTGTGTTGGTTTTCAATATAACATCATTAAACACCTGTCCTATAATACAGCGCATTGGGTCGTTAAATAATTACCTACATGCACGGTGCTCACTACACATGCAATTTTATATAATTAATCATTTATATGCACCTACCTATGCATGTAATCAATGGTAAATTAATATGTTTTATTAGGTATGTGTACCGCGGTATATCTACTACCGTTTTCGAAGGTTGCACTACGCACCGCTACTTCTGTATTAATAATAATAACTAATAAGGAATAATAATGACAATATAAATATATAACCCAATTTCAGTTGGGTTAGGTAATTAATCATTACATATTATTATAAACTGAGAAACCTAAAAATAATACGCAGATACTTTAACCCACGAACTACTACATAGGACTGGACACTGTATATAATAAGGTGGCTACAGAGTTGTACGGCGGTCGTACGTTCGCTACGTAACTGCACTCTAGTGTCTAGTAGCGATTTTTTTATACTGTGCTGTTGAAAATTCTTTTATGTGATAAGTCGTAGTGACTAGTGATAACAGAACAATGAATAACCATCACATATTCAAAAATTAAAATCAGTACTCAAACTTATTATATTTTATATTTTAATTAATAAAGTAGTAAATATTTATGTAATAAATGCACATTACTACCTACGTTGCTACCAATAATTTAGAAAGTTTTTTTTTTTTTGCATGGTTTTTTACTTGCTTTTGGTTGGATATACGTGAATATTGTCTCATTCGCATAGTAACATAATAGGTAATTATAAATAAAAAAATTTCATTTTTGTGATTGGTACATGGAAATGCAAGCAAATGTTGGTTGTTTTCTATGAAAAAATCAACAGTTTCTTGAAAAACGTCATAGCTATCACAAAATTGCTCAAATGCCTCCTCTAAACCTATTATAATCTCAAATATTTTCCTATTGGGAAAAATTAATCCTCCTCTTGATTTTATATTGGTTATTGATGCCTCAGGTATTGATCTGTCCCCTAAAATACAAATCAGTAAGTTTTCATTGTTTTTTAATAGTTATTATTTTTACCTTCTTTAAATGCTGATAAACAAATATCACAAGTAGTTCGTTTTATAATTTGTCGAAGTAAATAACCACATATATAATATGTAATTGAGTCTCTTGTTGATGCTATATGATAGTTATGTTCAGCAAAAATGTCATCTACTTCCCAACGTTCTTCTTTTATTAAAGAATCCAATCGACTTTTTAGATGTTTAATTTTATCTTCACGTATAGATAATTTGAAGATTTCTGTTATAATTTACTTATTTACCTGGTTACTATTGCTACTTTGTCCTTCAAATGTTTTAATAATTTCCTCATCACGAAAATGTTTATGACATAAATATGAAACATTTTGGTTATTACCATTCCAATCGTTAACAATATTTGTCCACGATTTACGGATAGATTCATCCTTAGGTATAGAAAATAAAGTAGCATTTTCATTATTACTTTTATTTACTCTACTGTCACATATTAATACAGAACATAAGCGACCCATATTAAATAATTTGATGTAAAACAATATAAATAAGATACAACAGACTCATTACCAGTGATTAAATTGGAGGGGGGCACGGGGGGACGAAATATATTTATGTTAATATTTTTATTTTTTATCAGTCTATTTATAAATATTATAATATAATTTGTTCATAAAAGTTAAATACGAAATGTAGTAATTTAGTACATCACTAGATAGCATCACAGTCGCAAACGTACGTAACCGTACAACTTTGTGACCGGTGTCCCTCCCTCCTCCTGCCATAAGAGTCCAGTCCTATGTAGTAGTTCGTGCTTTAACCTCGGGAAAACTTACACACGCGCACTGCAGCAGTTGTGTAACTGATTATATTATATAGTGTTTCAGTAGGATCTAAAAGACAAGAAAAAAAGTAGTAAAACCACTTATTTGCCATTATACAAGTCGACAATTCAATTTTACTATTTATAAAATAATTTATAGCGATTCAATGATAGTGTACTGAATTAAACAACATTAAACGCAACTACGTATGAGTAGGTACTTATACACACTATTCACGTTTATCGTAGATACATGATTAAAAGTATGATTAGTGAATGCAAATAAAATATTGTAACATAATTTGTAGGTACACAAAAATATAGTGATTAAAATTATAGTTCGGATAAAACACTAACAGATAAATGCAAACACGTATTTATGTGCGTATTTTTTTATTCCTGTATACATTATAACGTTACTTATTCACTGTAATAAATCAAAACTGGTAACTACACACCAGGATCAGAGACGGACTACCCATATAGTATTATGTAGGTTATGAGGGGCCTAAAACACAATTTGTATTTTAGGGTCAGTATACCAATTTCGTTCCTTATTTCTTTTTTATATCCATTTTTCGAAAATCATTATATGTCACTGTTATATAAACGAACTACAGTATGCATTTGAATTTTTTATTCGTTCCATCCAAACATTTTTGTTTTCCTAAGAGAAATTATAGAAATGCAAACCAGCACTTATATTTCAATAAACACTTAACAGTAGGTAATGATCAAGATACACCAAACCCAGAGTTAAAAAATTAACTGTAGAATCTATATTATGGAGAAGTACAAATCTGGAAAAATCACTATTACAATTTTTTTTAAACCATATTATGATTATTATTGTACACCATCAGCTATTCAAAATTGTCAACCTTGAAAATGACCGAGAGCAATTGGTATAGAAAAAAGTAATTGGTAAACATTGGTAAACTCCCGTTTTCGTTTTAGTGACCATCGGTGAAACGAGAGTTGCTATTTAAAACATAAAATATTATCACATTTTTTTCTATACTATAAATAGCCAAGTGCCAAAATATTAAAAAATGTTAACATACATGAAATGCTAATATGAATATTTGGTGAAAATTTCAAGAGTCTATTAGTTTTTGAACTGTCAAGTTTTTTTTATGTTTTTTAAAAATTCAAAAATATTCAAGTATGGAGTATGGACATATACCATATTGATTGGATACATGGGTGGATAGTACCTACAGTGGACGTCCGTGTTTTTTTCAAATTTAGTTTTTGATTAAGCCCGAAAAAGGGAATTTGGTTTTCACCAATATAGAAATACAACTCATAGTAGACGATAAAACAATTTAGTAACAACTTTACAAAGAATACATTAAAAAGTTGAATTATTTAATTTTTTTAAAATAGGTATACGTTTTTGATTGACACAAATTAATCTAAATGTGTACTTACTTTACTTTCAATAAATACAATTTCAAAAGGGAGATGCTAAACCCTAAAGCCCCCCTGCCCTCTAGGTCCACGTCATCAGGTTCACGGTCATCAGACTTTTGATATTGAAAACGGATTTGAATGACTATTAATAACTATTATACACTAATAATTTCTCTGGATCTTACGAAAAATCCATTAATTTATCTAAAAAAACATATTTAGCTGTTGAATATTCAAAATTGTACTGTATTTTTTAAAATCAAATTTATTAAGCGAATGACTCAATTGATTTAAAATTTTGTTGGATCTAAAGAAGAAAAGATGACGATCTAATCTTGTTTTCAAAATCCATATCGCTTATTAGTCTTGAAAAAATCATGCATACATTTGAATGAAAATAGATCATTTTAGTTTTTAGTTTGAAATTCAGTCAATTTCGAATCCCTTCGAGTGTCATTTTAAAATATCCTATACCACCGGGTGACGACTGGCAATTAAATACTGCAGTTTCATTAATTATTTAGCTGATAAATAGGAATAAACTTCATGATGTTTAAATATTAAATTATTAACTTGATTGCAAATAATAATTTTTATGTACCTAATACTGCATATTAATATTTTAAATTATTCAATTATTTAGTATTATACGAAGCAACAAGTGTTTGAAATATTTATGATATTATAATATACCTAAAATGAAACTGTAAAAATATTAGTTTGTTGTTGTTAATCGTTCCGTATTTGTTATGTTCTTATTTTCCGCAGGCTTTGGTTCGATTACAGATACCATGATTACACACTATTTTACCTTGAATTAATATAAAAACGATTATTTCTGGGTATTTCTAAGACGTTCTATACGTATAGCTATTACTTAATGTCTTCGATGAATAACAATAATAAAAAGTAAATAGCTATGGCCTATGACGCCCCAACTTAATAGTTGTGAAAACAATTAAAAAAATTAAACGAAACCTAGGCAATTCAATTTATCATCAAATGCATTTGCATATAGCCATTATGACCATTGGCGCATTTATAAACAAGTGCATGATTGAGGTGGATGGGAAATGTAGTATCGTTTGCCCTGCTTTTTTGTTGGATGCATGGCACCACATAGAAAATAATTAACAAAAACATTAAAACATTAATCCAAATACTCGTATTAATTAAACTTAAGTCTTGAGCGTTGAACTCGTACCTAGATAATCAAAAATCAAAATATTCACTTATGGTAACATTATAATTTAGGGCTAGGAATTATAATATGCAATAAAAATTACTAAAACATGTATTTCGTCTATTAAAAAATGTGCAAAAATATGCAACTAAAAATGTGTACAAATATTGAAATATGACAGTTTGGTGCCATTGCATGGTTACAACTCACAAATACTAAAGAATAGTGTTTTTTTCATAGGTCATAAAAACTGGAACAGACGATTTTTCTGACACTTTGTATTTTTGTCTTCTTATATGAAAAAAGTCAAAATGAATTCGATTCACAAACAATAAATAACATCTAACACACTCATAATACACGACGATGACTATGTTAAAATACATAATCATTTCACCGTATAGTTGGTGTAGATTTGTAGTTATAGAATGATCTTAATTATTAAATCTAATCTACTGTCGCGGTTGTATAATATGACAGTTAAGATAAGGTATAAATTAAATCACTATACCTACTACATAGTAAATTAGTTAATTAGAGCTTAGACCGTTAGGGGGAATCGTCCCGAAACGATATTAATGATAATCTCCCTAACAAATGGCCTATTCAGTTTTTGGGCAAAATGTATTACCTTCACCCAAACGAATGCATAAATATGCTAAAAATATCAGTTAAATAAAATTACTAAAATGTGTCAAATATATGCGCTTAGCCTAAAAATGCAGGCAAAATATGTAAAAATGTGCAATATAGGTAGGTACATATTTATATTTAAGTTCGTTATGTCTCATAATAAATTGATATGTTATTTGAGATATTATACAGCCAAAAATTAAAGAATATGAAAAATGCAACAAGCCCCGAATTCTGATTATTATATGATAATAAGAAGACATGTCACGTGCGTGCTTGAGACTTTTTAAGAGGACGTAACACTGGCATTTGTTGTCTCCGTCTTACAAGTGCGTAAAATAGCATATTTAAGCTCAGTAGATCACGTATAGCTTCGTTAGTTTAAACATTAGAGTGAATCGACCTATTATGAAAATTGATGATAAGAACATTATCTGTGTGTGTAGTTCTGTTGAAATTGTTAAGATAGTTCAATTTTCAGGAATATAGCTAATCTGTTTTAGTATGTTGGTTTTCTACGACAGTTCAATTTTTTAGCAAATTATGAGAATATAATATAATGTGAATTAAAAATGCTTGTAACTCACTTAAAAAGTGATTTATCGTAAAATACATACTAACACAGATAATGTTCTTACCATCAAGTCTCATAATAGGTCTAAATCACTCGTGAGATTTTTAATCTAACGAAGCTATACATTATCTGCTGAGCTGAAATTTGGTATGTTATACCCACTTGTAAGACGGAGACAAGTAGACAATAAATGTCAGTGTTACGTCTTCTTAGATCAATATTTAGATCTAAATTGTAAGACGGCTTGATACCCAATCCAAATTAGTAAATTATTAGTAATATTACTTGAACAATGGAATATTTAAAAAATTGAGATCACAATCACAATTAGATTTTTAACTATTTTATTTCATACCTGCCTTACATTTTTATGTAGTTTAAAATACATTTGCAGTTACTATTAATATTGATGCAAATTGATTTCATAATAGTTTGTAGTTAATTACAATTTAGTTTTCAATTTTTTAATATATATTGATATATTACAAATTATATTTTTGTTTTGCTTACCTCAGTGATATCTGTGAAGCGTATTTAGTATTTACTCAAATCTATAATTAATGTAAGACAAATTATTTTTTTGCTGGTTTTGTTTCGTCTGTTTGTTGTCAATTACCTTGCCATTAGACGCAAGGCTTCCTATCTGTAAAATTGAAATCAATGTTTAAAATATAACCGGCCTGTATGATAATTATTATATTATAAATGCTCAGTATTCACCATGTCGAAAAACAATATTAGTAGGTTCTTTAATAAATTCCTACAGGACCTAAAAAACATATAGCTGGTACCTAAATAAAAAACAATTATAATTCAATATAAATTATACAAATATTATAATTTTTTTTTTTTAAATGTAATTTGTACTTATAGTTAATTTCCAACGTAATAATTACGTTATGTAATTTGAAATTTAATATGTATTTTAAATGGGAATTTTAGTAATTACTTCAATATTTTATAATAATTAACCTTCAATGGTTTCATTTTTTACCTGGTTTCTAAGGATATAAAAATAGTGTTTAACAATGATTACGTTACCTATGTGCGATAAAATACAGATTGAGGAAAGTCATTTATTTTTAAATGTTTGTAAACACAAAGTAAGTACGAGCATATTTTAGCAAGGTAAGTCATCAAAATTTAGGAACAAACAACTCCATATTTGTTTAGAGTACTTTCAACATTTTAAAATTGTTTTAGATTCTGAGTAGAACGATTAGGTACCAACTGACTTTACAATTCATGTTTGTGTTTTTTTTTCGTGTGTTTCATCAACTTTTAGGTCTGTGAGATTGCTTTGATTTTCTACTTCAGCATCTTATCTAAATCTAGCTGGTACTTTGGGGTGTCAAAAGTAAAAATCCCAATCATTTTTCGTAGGCAGAGGGAAAAACAAAAAGGATATTAAGAGAAAACGGGACTTTTTATACAAAACCAGTTTTTGACAAAAATCGTTTTATTTTTTTTTGGATGTATTAGGAAACTCAAAAATGAATAACTGTAGATATTCTAATGTTTCGGCAAATGTTGACTATTTCGCATACAACATAATATTTTAAAAATATTTTTTCTTTTATTGAGCTATTTATAGATATGGTATGGCAAATTTTCAATCTTTTTTTAAAATTATTGAAGAATAAATAATTTTTGTTCGGTCGGAAACTTTAAAATATAATACATTGTTTCTCATAAGTTGTTATCAGTGTTATTAAAAAACCAGTAGAACTAGAATTTTACATTGGCAAAATAACAATTTTAGTTATTTTTTGGTAGAAAATATAGTAGCAAGAAATTAATTTCGCCCGATAATAAAATATTATTTTAATATAGTTTTTATTTTAACCTATCTTTTACATAATTATGTATGTTTATCAGCTACTCTGTTTGTTTAATGTAATATGATAAGTACTTAAATGTTCGTCAACTTTTTACTAATGATAAAGATAAATGATAATAAATGTAAAATCATGTATTTTTTGTTAGGTAAAAATAACTTGTATTTATAAGTCATGAACTATAAATTGTGATGGGGTTACACTTTTTGAAATAGGTATATACTATGAGATAAACATGTACATAATTTGGTATTTTTGCTAATGAGGTTTTATTATTTTCTAATGAAATAATATCAGCTGCTTAAGAAGACATTATATTATTGTTTTATCCATTTTAATCCCACTGTAGGTTCAGTAAAATGTTTTTACAAAAATGTATTTTACATCCCAGAACTCTGCAAAGTCGTGTTTTCCGTAACGATTTCGGAACATACAAGTAATATAAAATATTGGCGTCATCCTTAAACGAATTAACTATTTTTATGTTTTAAATCTCAACAACAGACTAATTGTTTTTGGTAATTTTTTTTTAGAAAAATGTATCATAGAAGTCGTATTGTGTTCAACACATTATTGGTAGTGACGACTGGGGCTGGATGCGTCTTAACATATGCCAACTATAATCCACAGTTAAGGGATAATTTGAAAAAACGATCAACAATAATGAATGAAGTTATACAGTTTGTGTGGCAAGAAAAAAAGACTTTCAAACAGAGGATTGAGGAGATTATTCCTCCAAAGAAAAAATAAATCAAACCTATACCTACTCTAAGCTATTCACCTGACATGTGTTTATACCTATGTCTCGTAGTTTTCTGTGTTTATGGACGTTAATCGGTAAACATTTAAAATAAAAACTAAATATTAAAGTCAACTGTTAAGCTTATTGAAATCGGAGGTTCATTGAGGGTTTGATGCTTTTTTTGATATTTTGTACTGGTCGATTTAATGACCCGTGGACATTTTGTACATGTCGATAAATTGTTGGTCGACGATTCAACTGAGGTCCCATAGGTATTAAACTAAAAAATAAAAATAACATGTATATGTCACATATTGGTAAAATACAATTTTTATCATATCGTACGGGTTATTCACTGAAGAGTCCTTGGTAGTTTAGAAATTAAAATAAATTATCCTGAGGTATAGTTCCCTACTACAACTATTTTATTCCGTCTGTACATTATAACGATAAAAATATGTAGTATTACAATAGTATTATCAATATTATTATATCTATTATTCTGCAAAATCGTTGACTTCAGTAATACATTATATTATCAGGTCTGTATAATCGAAAACACTGCCTTAATCAGACTGCGTAGTATTGCGTATAATATAATACTCGCGAGCTTTAACACTGAATAATATTATATAATAGAAAAACTGCGTGAACTTGTTGACGAATTAGGTACTTAATATTAGGATTTAGGTGATTGGTTTTATACATTTTTCACGAACACATGGTATAAATGTACGACACTTGATGATGATGTTAGTGTCATAGTTTAAACTGTTTAAAGGGACTGTAGCAACAAATTTGAAAAAATCATACTAATTGTGTATTAAATATTAGCAAAAAAATGTTTAATATTCTCACCTTAATTTTGGTAATTGAATTTAAGTTAAGTCATATGTTGTATAAATAGATTGAATAATTCAACGATTAATTTGAATGAAGATCTGAAGATTAGATTTTGATGAAATATGATATTCAAGAGTAAAATAACGATTACTCATTGAATTACTTTCTTACTTTTTGTAATTAAAATAACTGTACCGAGATAATTTAAACTTTTATCACATATTCACATGTTTGTATTTTCTATGAATATTAATAAAATTGCTTGGTCTAAAATTTGTTAAGAAACCAAAGTTTTTTTTACAGATGCTTTAGGTTAAAATTTGTTCTAAAATCTAAGTTCAATATTTAAACAAAGAATAACGATGTTAGTTATTTTTTTGTAATTCAAAAATATTTTCCGGGGATTTAAAACTTTAAAGAATATTATTATATTTTTTTAATACAGTGACATTTTCAAAACATTTAGATGAATTGTATGCTATTGCCTAATGTAAAATAAATTACTTTAATAATTAATAGCAATATATTTATTTATTTATTTTGCGACAGTCTTAGAATTTACAGACCGTCTCCGCTTAGAGTCATTTTTCAAATGTTTTAATTGAATTCAAATTTAAAACATTCATTACAATGACCTACTCAGTGACGAGGTACACTCGACTCCTACTGCACTGCAGAATTACCTATTTTCCCCCTTTTTATATTTATGTTTTGTTGTGTCCTGCATCCGTTTTGTTTAAGCAGTAGTAGGTACCAGTAACTTTGTAGGTAGTGTTATTATAGGGTCTTGTTAGAAAACAATTGGTCGAAACAATACAATACAATTCCTGAAAATATTTTTTTTTAATTAAATGTATTTGGAACTACCGATGTTGATTTGTAAATATATTTTGTCGGAATAATATAAGTTCAGAAAGGTATTTTGTGGAAAATTATCATATATCAAACCTAATTTTTGATACAAATTTCCAACAAAGTATTTTCCATAAAATAAGTTTCTGACAAAACGATTTTGACAAAATATCGATCAGTATATTATTATAATTCCAACAAATAACCTCACAAAATGTTCCCAACAAAAAAAAACAGCGATTTTGAACAAATAATGGCTTTGCCTATACTTTTGATCTGAATTTTTCTAATATTCTCTATTATTAATTAAACATAATATATTTGCAGTTGTTGATACATAATAATATGTTACCGATTTAAATTATTTGTTAACCCAATGGCTTATGTCACCGAGAGTATTGTATCAATAAAAAAAAAAATTTATTTTATTTTAATATAACCAGAAAGAATTACAATTTTTCCTTGAAATTGTTTGTGTACGTTCTTATTATATAATATTATAACACCATCAGAAAATACAATATTTTCCTTGTCAATCTTGTGCATATATTATTTATTTTTTAAGTTTATTAACATTTTAAATATTACAGCTATTAATATCGAATAGTGTTTGTCATTTTATAGTTTATAATTTATATGAATTACTCAATAAGGAAGGGACCCAATTATTGTGCCCAAGTTTATAAAATTAATGTGCGTACATAGTATTTGCATTGAGTGTAAAAAACAAATAACTGTACAATATTATATTATATTATTAAATAAATATTTATTATTATTAAAATATTACTTTCGGATATTATTATTTGATCATTATCACATCGATGGTAGCTGAGTGTTTTTGGCGTTATCAGTCATGTATAATTATGAATTATTACATATATTACCACCCATACTATATTCTATAATATTCGATCTAATACTAAAAAATATGATGTATTATTGCGGTACAAAATATATAACTATTACAGAACACTTTATTTTGACGTATGGTAATACAGTAGGCAATGGGTATTTGTTCTCGGTAAAACAACGCTGTTGCTAATCTGTGCTGAATTGACCTGTAATACGCGATAAACAACTACATAATAATAATATATATTACATAGGTACTGTTTTATCGATAAAAAAACATGAACTACCGACTTTGTACCTACAAAATATAAAATATTATTTGCTGGGTGTCCGCGTTACATACATGATTATAGGTTTACTATATTATGATTGTGTAACACGCGCCAACGTTTTAATGGTCCTCCAAGATGTTAATATATAACTAAGACGTAGACGGCGTACGATAATAATAATAATAATAATAATAATAGTAAAAATAATGATATTATACCAAACAACGATTAACGGAACACCGCAGTGAACGCAATCAGACGTTTCTATTCGATTGTCTTTTACGTTAAAATGCTGGCAAAAGTCCTAATTGTGTGTTTGGGGATCTTGTCAGTGGGCCACGCCTGCGACGATAATAACTTGCAGCCTTTGGAAACTGCCAAAGACTCGACGAAATGGATGCACGATGGCTTCCAAATATCCATATTTGGCAACCCGGACAAATACATACCACATTCCATGTACATTGGTAAGTACCACGTATAATAGAGAACTTGATTTATCATCACTTCAAAGTTCAAACCTTAGTATACTTACCTAGGTTCTGAATCTTAAAATCGCAAAATGTGGCTTTTGCGCATTACTAATCACTATCCCCTCCACACTTGCTTTTTCACTTTAGTTCTATTAATCTGTTATTCTGTGTTATGCTGTCAAAATCAACCTGTTAGGTATATTATTCCGTCAACATTTTTGTTTTTGAGGTTTTGCCAACAATTTCCACCAAATAAATATAAATAAAATATAACTTTAAATGTAAACAATGAGATAGAAAATAATTATATATTATTATTTCTCCTCGTCTCTTCTTTCTCCTTCTTAATATTTCCTTCGCTGTTTTTTCCTTATTCAACCTTCCAGCAAATAGTCACTTCTTATTTACGTTGTTCATGTACTCTGTCACATATAATTATTATGTTAAGCAGTATATAGATTATAAAAATAAAAAAATAAAAAAATAATTATTTGATATAAATATTTTTGTATAGCTAGGTCACTGAATCTATTTTGTGATGTGATCAATCTTATGAACGGTTTCATTTTTCGCATACAAGAATATAAAATATAAATATATAATATATAACTAGAGCTGTTCTATACCCGGCGTTTCCCTTGATAAATATTTGTATTTTTAAAATATATAATTACTAAAACATTTATATGCCAAATCTTTTCTAACTATAATAATTAATAGTAAAATAAAATGTAACCATTAATAACCATTTATAAACGAAAATGTACAGCGTAAATCGAAAAATGTTTGTTCGAGCCAATTGTGAATCTAAACCATCCGGGGACCCACTCAAACACCCTAAAAATGTCATTAAAATCCGTACAACAGTTTAGGGTAAATTCAAATAGGTACACAAGTACAAAACAAATAAATGTACAAATAGGTACATACCAAATGGAATATAATATGACTTATTTATACCATGATTTTACTAAACATAATGTAAATCAACTGAAAATTTCTTTTGATTTTTTAAAATAATTTTAAATAGGGTTTCAGATTTTCAACTTTATTACATACGATAAAATTTATATTTTATACAATATACTCGTAGTCTGTTTTTTTGTTGCTATAACTTTGTAGGTATATAGCCGAGACCCAAGGAGGAGAAGGGCACTTCTTAGTACGCCGAATGCCGATAAGCATAAGTGCAGACAGATATTTATAGTGACTATAGTACTAGTGTAGTGTATAATACGCAGTGTTTACATTAAACGGAACTTTTTAGTTGGTGATTGTTTTAGGAAATTATAGGTATTTAGCAAAATTATTTATATTAGCATCGTGTTACACGATCGATGATTGATGTAATATGATTTGTTTGTCTTTTTAATTTTACTATAACCATTTAAGTTTTGTAAATTAATTTAAAAATAATACTTTAATCAAACAATTAATTATTTATAGGTAAGATTTAAAAGTCCAAACATAAAATCTGTACCCTCAGATCTATGGCACACAGTTGTGACGCAGATGTAAATATAAAATTACCAATTTAATAAAAGACATAATACTTAATAGTAGTAAGATAATAAATAACATAACCAATAGTTAAGGTTTATACTTATAGTTTACTGTGTAAGTGTAAGACTTTACCCTTTAAAAGGTCTACTCAGTACCTTTTTGTGCACACCATACTTACCAATACTTATCCATATAATGGATTACACAAAATGAAAATCACTCTTCACAACAAATGTAATTATGTAAGGATGTATGTTATCTAAAAATATTATTATCTAGTCTTAAAGTACAAGTATATAAAACGAAATACAAAACGAATACATGAATAATGTAGCATAAAAATTAAATAATATCATGATATTTAAGTATTAAATAGTTTCGTTACCTTATACCTGTACGCATATTATATTAATTGTATGTTGAACTATATTATAGCATTAAAAGTATTACCTATGTAAAAATATCTTAATATTTTATGTATTTAATAAAATGACAAATTAATTTTTAATGTTACCAAAATATTATTAAGCGTACACATTCTACCATTTAAAAAGCGTAGCTTACTATATTACGTAAACAGAGAAATCTCGTAGTCATTAGGTATTTATAGGTATCTTGTTAGTGGTTTAATGTTGAAATCAACACAGAATTTGAAGTATTTATTTATAATTTAAAACAAGTGTCCAACACGACATTATGTTATGCATGTCAAAATCAAATATTATATTATCGACATTAGGTACTCAAATTACAATAAAAAAACTACTTTTGAGTAGCTTTTACCATTTTTTCTAATTTCTCAATAGTCTGGGCTCGATTCATAATCAAACTTTTTTCAGTGCATATTTCGTTTTGAAAATCACGCAATTGGTCTTCGGCTTGCACTTGTTCGAGCTCTATTTTTTCTGTTATAACGTGAATGCTCTTGTTCAACTCGCAAATGTCGTCTTGCAGCTTCTCGTTTTTCTTATTGCCTTTGTCCAGTCGCTTCATGGTATCTTCGATTTCCTTGATAATCGTCTCCTGAAGATAATCGCTTTTGGTACTGTTCGAACTGCCCCCGAGGTCTTTTTCGGTCAGACTTTCTTTTATCTTGTTGTAATGCATCACGACTCGCATCACGTCCACCCATTCATTTCTGGCCACCTGTATGCGACAACGTACAAAATATTATATAAATATAAATGCATCTAACCTTAGATACAATTCTCTCAGCCAAACCGGCCATCGTTCACCTTGTAAGCCATTATGCCTCTTTTGATTTCGTTGTAAAGATCTTTCTTTACGGAAGTTACCAGTTTTTCTTGCTTTTCCTGCAGCTGATTAATGATTTTTCGACGTTCTCGTGCCAACAGAGCCAACAACCTGCGTTTGAATGAAGTAACAGTATAATGCTATAGTTACTGTAGCTGGAAAATGTACATAAATAATATTTACATTTTAATCAGACAGACAGGATACGTCTTAGCTAACGTTTCGGCCATCTTGCTGGTGGGTTTTTCCATTAATGCACCTTGCCACATCATTTCGGTCATGGAATTTGAACAGGTGGAGGCCGGGCTGAGAAGAAATAACATCGGGGAAGTCGAAGATATTACAAGTTTTTGAAGTTTTTTGTCACGTTCTTCGATCTAAAATATTTTAATGAATTAAATCATGAAGACTATTGGTCATAATGTTGTAGGGTTCGTCATAATCAAGCTCCAAAACAGTCAATAAGTATAAGTTCTTAATACTTATAAATTACTCCATTGGTAAAGGAAAAATGAAATGCAATTTCCGAATATGTGGTAAGTAGGTTATACAACATGTCGGGTGTAACAATCATTACATTTTAATAATTATTGTACATATTATAATATTGTATCAATTGTATTAGTTTATTTTATTATTACTTCTTGTAATATATTCTTCACTCTTTTTTTCAACATCGAAAGCATTTTTATGCGTTTGAATAAGTGTGGATTGTAGTTATCACACCCTTTGCTTTCGGCCTTAAAAGTAATAAAAATGATTATAAGTATATAATTTAAATACTCCTCGCTACTTCCTGAAGCTAAAACTACTCACTATTAGTTTTTCAAGTAGCTTTTCGATGTATGGATCGTGGCAAGCAGTACTGTTAGGATCTTCTTCAGACAACATTTCCTGTTCAATATTATTATGTAATTTTTTGAAAAATTCATAAGTTAGCTTTCGAGATTCTTGCGACCTTCGATTTGATAAAATTGTTCGAACTTCGCCCGTCAGTTGATACACTTTGTCCTCTTGTTCACAGTTACTTTTCGGTGTGTTAGCCGATTCCACTTTTAAATCTATCGGCTTCACTTCAGGTGTTGGGCTAAATACGTTGTATACTATAAATTAGAATTGCAATCGAAAAAAGCGGGTAAGTGGATGTCGCTCTGCTGTACATTAGGCGTCTCTTAGCGACTAAAATCGTTATTCTTTGTGTTAATATGTCATTTTGTTTAAATTTTAACTTAAAATAACCATAAAAAAGTTGTGTTTATGTTCAATTTTAGATTTATTGGTTACAGAATTGACTACATACATAGAACCTTGTTTTAAATTTTCAATCCTTAGCTATAAAAGATGAACAATTAATACATTTTTAACTGCAAAATCATATTTCAAATTTCAATTTGATAAGTGTTGCCAAAATTTGAACTTAAAATGCTTATAAAATAAATCAAGCCTATGTATTTTTAATATTGTTCAACTGCTATTGTAACAATATATCAAGAGTTTTGTATTACATTTTCATGTTTTTTTTGCCAATACCAATAAAATTCCATTGACATTTATAAAGAAAAAAACTGAAAATTTAAAATGACCGTAAACAGCTCAAAACGAGTCAAAATATTTTGAGAATTTTATCAAGTATAGTTATTGATAAAATAAATATATGGTGTAAATTTCAATTATCAACAAATATTTTATTTTGACTTACAAAAACAAAAAAAAACCGTTACATGAGAAATTGAGTGAATATCTAATGTTGAAAAAATTTCAACTTCAAACGCTCATAAAAATTTAGTTTGACTTACGGTAAAAATGGTTTTTTGATTATGGTAGACAAACTTATAAGGAATCTTGTATTCAATTTTTAAATCTTAGATATAAAAAGAAAAATTTCTATGAATTTCTAACACGAAATAATTTGCTAATTTTCGTGATTTTTACGAATTTTGTCAAAATTCTTATTTTCTGTTGATCTAATTGTTATTATATTACGTAAAGTGAAAACTGTATGGGTTTTACAATGGTATTACCTAAATACCTGGTTACATAAATTATTTAACGTGGTAACCTATGCAATGATGAGTATATTATTCTAATGGTTTGTTGGTAATAAATAACTAATTAGTGTTAACTCTCAAACAATGATATTAGTATACGTAATTACGCGATGATTAGTATTTGACGTTAAATAATCTAAAAAAATTACTAAATATTCAATCAAAACTATAAACCAAAGAACGAAAAAATTTCATTTTATTTTGTTATTATTGGTTGTATATGATTTAACCACACAATTATATAATTTATTTTAAATTTTACAATTGTAATTGGTATAATTCTCTACTCTTTACTTCTACAATCAATAAATTTACAAGAAATCTGTACATAGTATTATACATTAAATACTGGCTTTAAAGTATATACATCTGGTCATGAATATATTTTATTGTTTTTAATTTATGTATCCTTTAATATTCTAGGTACCAAGTAAATATACGGAAAAATTGTATGAGTTATCAAATATTATGTACTAAAAAATCCTTAGAATCGGGAAATACTCAAAAATGTTTGTTCTGAAGAAGACATGATTTATCGTTCTTAAATTCATAATCCTAAATGGTAAAAAAAAAAATTCAAATGCAATAAAGTGCAAGCTCTAATGATAACCTCCGGGATTAAGCTTTTTAGTCCATCTACTCAATATTTGAATCTTAAATCAAGGCTAAAATATGATTATGCTTAAGATTTACGCTAACGATCTTACATTGGTCGACCACATGAATTAACCCAACAGCCCGAATTTCCACCCACTGTAACGGCAACATATGCAAACAATCCGGAATTTTCAGGTAAATTCTTACACGCTATGTAAGTACGCCCATCGTTCGACAAATGATTCATGTCGACCATTTCCAATTCTCGATTTTTTACGAATTTCGTCCATTTCTCTTTGTTTTCATTCATCTAAACAATTGAGCCGATTTTTTTTTTATCACCTCTGACTCGCGTTTATGAAATTTATCACTCACTTCTTTTTCTTTTTCGACTTCCAGGCTGGCTTTTGTAGTTATTTCTGGAAATACGCCGTCTAATGACAGCGGGCCCGGTTTTGGGGCTTCGTTAAACGGAGTGGTTATCTTACGGTTGTTCATACTTAAAATAAGTTGTGACAAATATATATTACGTGCTTGTTTTTCTTTTGTATTTTTATACGGTTCGATTGCGAGTTTGTGTAGCCATTTCTAAGATTATTTAGATAATTCACATATAAATACAAGATTACTGAGAAGATAGTTGTAGAGTTTAATTTTTTACTTTGCATATTTCTTTTTCACTTTCGGATTTTAACGAATCAAATGCTGCTTTAAAATGTTCTAAAAAGAATAAAAAATCCTCGTTAATTTTCTCTTCAATAGGCTGCTGCACTGGTTGAGCCATTATGTTATTATCCTTTCACAATAAAAAGTGTTCAATATAATATATTTTCTAAACAGAATTGATTGCGTTCATTGACTTTACGACGGTATTACGATATAATAGTTACGAGAAAAATAACATGTCTATTGTTTAATATTAAGTTGTTATTTTATGTAAAACTAAAATGTAACATATCTATAGATACAAATATTGTAGATGTTGATACACAATCAGGTGGATATTTATAAAAATGCATTTTTACTTTTTAAAATAAGCTTAACAAATAAGAAAAATTTGATATATATATTTTCAAAGTGTTTCAAAAATCTATACAAAAATTCCTAAAAAAATATAACTCATCAACAAATCATTTATTATTAATATTAAAAATATCTCATATACCTTGTCCTGATGTAATCGGTCGACACTAATAAATATGTTATCAGTAATGTAGTATTAGATACCATAATGTGGTAATAATAGTAATGTTTAAAAATATTTCACTTATAGCAACTATCGAAAGTGAAAATTTGGATTATTTTCATTCGTTTTTGATAACTGCGGAACGCGATTGCCTCAGTAAGATTAGCGAAGATTGTGGCGATCCCGCATCACCGGACCGCTCAGGTTCACTTCAAATACTTTCGTTTGATGACGGTGCGACATTCCATCCAGATTGCGTAAACACCATCGTCCAGTCTGAACCGGTAGTCAAACTACAAAAGTTACGTTTCGTGTGGTCAGCACCAAAAACAGGAAGCGGTTGTGTGTACCTAAGGTATATAAACAGTATGGACTTGGTAATTGGTATAAATCAAGTCAATAGTCATCAACTATTACAATGTTAATAATTGATTAAATTTTATTAATTTAAAATGTAAAGTAACTTGTATGTATGATTGCACTCTTTAATGCCTATATAAACTAGCTATAACTTATGTTGATGCAGAGATTAATTATACGCGAGTTTAATAATACAATGATGTATTGTAGGGCTTTGATAACCTATGAAAACGGCTACAATAAATATCAGAAAACTGAACTGTTAAAGGAACTATGTGAGATGTCTTTCGATACTGTTACAAAGTCAAACGCACCGGCTGACACCGAAAGTTGTTGTGCATGTGACGAAGCAGTTTATGAGGTAGGTAAACAATGAAAAAAAAATATTTGAAAAATCTTGAACTTACATACCTACATATTTGTGGTTTGTATAAAAGTGATGTCTGTTTTTAATGTTTTTTTTTTTGTCAAACTGATAGATGAAATTTGAAGGACTTTGGTCACCCGAAACCCATCCGAAAGATTTCCCAAGTGCTTTGTGGCTTACTCACTTCAGTGACATAATTGGAGCAACACACGATAAGAACTATTCTTTTTGGGCTGAAGGCCAATGGGCTACTGACGGTGTTAGACAGTTGGCCGAATGGGGTTCAACAGCTATTTTGGAATCCGAACTAAGGCAGCAGGTACTTAAACTTTTTATGTGCTCGTCGAACGAAATAATATCTATTTGTATATTTATTCACGATATTCAAGGTCTTGTTTTTAATTGTTAGAAAAAACATTTGAGAACTTTGATCAAAGCCGCTGGTCTATGGCATCCACGAGTAAACGCTAACGCCACGTCTAAATTCCGAGTGGACAAGAAACATCATTACATCTCATTGGCTTCTATGCTCGGTAAAATAATAATAATGCGAATCGTATATACAATATAATACAATATATGACGATTATTATATTTCATGTGTAAATTGATTTTAGGTCCTTCCCCTGATTGGATAGTAGGTATCAACGGTCATAATTTATGTGAAAAGAATTGTCAGTGGGTTCAAAACCGAACTATAGACTTGTACGTCTACGACGTTGGAACAGACAGCGGACGCACATATATGGTAATATAATAAATAAGAATACAATACTATACCTACTAATATTATAATACTAATATTTTACTTATAGTTTTTACTGCACCCACTTAAAATAAATGTATTAGTAGTATAGGTTGATATTTTAAACAACACTTTAATTTATTTGTGTGTCTTATACACTAAATTTATAGACTCAATCTTTAATATTTATGAAGAGTGATATAATAATATAGGTAACATTATGATTTCATTTAATAAAAATATTATGTATTACTAGTAAAGTTTTATTGCATAATTTATACTTATAATTTATGCTGCTCACTGTTTAATTTTAAAATCATTAAGATCATTCCAATTAAATCAATTACAAAATTAAAATATATAGGTAATATATTTATAGGTATGTTAGTTACACGGTTTTAGGAACTATGAAAATTAATTGATTTTTTTAAATTTCCACACGCTATGAGACAGTAAAAGATAAATGAGTGTTAAAATGATGGTTTTGAAGAATGGTTGAGGCTACATCAGGATCAACATGAGTAAACTTTGTCATAACCGCAATAAGCTACAAGCATTTGTGTGGGTGGGTTAGCGGTGTAAAAAAAAGGCGTGAACAAGTATTGTGGATGTGACTGCGCCGTAGATTAGGTTATAAGGTTATTATTATTATTACCTAGGTTTTCTAATATTTTGGAGATACTCGAGAGCTTTGAGCATAACCTAAAAAACCTTGATACCTATACTTAAAATGTATACATATGTCGTTTATTTTGTTCAATTTTATGTTTAAATTACAAAAATGAAGCTGTACTACTGTGACATAAAATTGACTTATTTGTCATCTTCCAATGTCTAATGAACTTTTCCCATTATATAATATGTGATGGATAATTATCCTGAAAAAATAAAAAATTAATAAATAAGTTTACACAGGTAATTTCTAATAATTTCTTAATAATATCCATAATATCTTGAATTCTGAAAGATTTATTTAGGGTAAAAATATTTTAACTTTCAATAACGGCTAAAAAGCAAAACCATAATAATATACCTATGATTCGTGAAAACAGAATGTAATGAACTGCGATAAGAATAAGTGGAAAGAAAATGATGTAAATTTACATTTTGTTATTTAAAACGCTAAATTTAAAAAAAAAAATGTTTTCTTTGAAGCCCTGAACATAGGTGGGACTATATATATAGTCTGTACAATGCTGAACAGTGAACAGTCTATACAGTTTGTACAGTCTGCATAATTTCAAATTTGGAGAGGATAAACAAGCTTAAACATTGTTTTCCGTAATATTGTGTATTTAATAATCATAATATAATTCATCGTGCTTGGAACAAACCGAAACTATTAATAGTTAGAATAGAAAAGTGTGTGTAGAGCGCTAGTACCTAACTAAAGACTTTGATAGGTACTTTACAAAGTTCCACGACTGAGCTTCTAGCTTTATTACAATATAAACATTTTATATATACATATTTGATTCCACGGTCAAAAATTGTTTTCTAAATGATATTTAGGTAATTATAATATTAGTCACACGACACGGTACACACTAAAACCTAATAATTTGTATAATTTGTATGATATTGGAATGTGTATTACGTGGAGCTTTTGCAATAATCAGTAACAATAATATTTTGTTACAATTATCGAAACAATTTCCACAGAATAAATTAAATTTCATGTTTTCTGTGTTACTACACTTTAAGTATGCATTTTCCTTACAGTGCTCATATTATATATATTGTAAAAATTAACATTTTTACCTTTTTTATATATAATTATTTTATTTTTAGATGTTCTTGTGTATGTTTTATTATAAAAACTCGCCCATTGTAAAAACAGATATCTAATATTCATACAGTAAATATAGGTGTTCAGCGTATAATAAATAATAATGTTTATAATGACCTTGATTACACATTTTTTTTATTAATTAATTATGATTATTTAGAACATTTTTTATTTGTACTAAATAAATTCAAATCGATGACACAACGTTAATTCGACAGTCTAGTTAGAACTCGAAGGTTCATGTATTTGCATATTAATTTATTCAGTAAATAATAGTGTTTGCGTGTACCTACGTCATACGAGCATATTATGATAAATTTTTAATTTATTTGACGATTTTCTAAATAAAGGCCATGTTGACCTGTTTAAAATTATAATTGAAATCTTAATACCTCACTCATTGAGCTATTTGATTCAATTAATTCACACCTGATGCTCTGCAATGCCAAATCTTATATTTTTTTTAATGATTACCTATCTATTAAAGAGGCTACCACGAAAATTTTAAATCTGTCGAATAAATTATTTAATGTTCTAAAACAGCAAATCGAGAAGTCTAAATGACGTTTGCTACGAAAAAAATATTATTTAATTTCGTCAATACTTTCGTACTATTATACAAATATCTCTCTACACGAAAAATGAATAGGTGCCTCAAAAGTAAATAAAAAAAAAAAGATTTCACTCTAAAATAACTTAAAAATTTAAAAAAATAATTTTGAGTGGATACGTATTTTGTCTATGTTGTACGTGGGTCAAACAGAGAAAACAAACACTGCTCTGATATCTTCTTAAATAAGATTACTTCTAAAAATCAAAAATATTGTGTTTTACTTAAAAGTTTACTTTTTAGTTTTTTTTTTAGTAAATTAAGTAAATCATCCTACTAACTTACTATTAATACAGCACTGATAATAGTGTTTAATCAATTGAACAAATTAGTCAGTTTATAAATTATTATCTATAATATGGTAGGTATGAAGTATAATTATACTATAACTACACTTAGATTACAGATGTATATTATTCGTCAACTATTAAGTAGCAATTAAATTCTTGTTATTATGCAATAATTTAAATTTACATCTTTCAATCATATTATTAGTATAACGGATGTATAATTATATTTTTTAAATCGTAAAGTAAACATAAATAATAATATTTAGATTAAAAACGCAAAAATAATACATAATAATCTATGACTATAGTGAACGGTCATTACATATTTAAATTTCTCACATGATTAGTGAAATCATTTGTATTTATAAAATATTAAGATGACATTTTGAAATGCATACCCACATGATAAAATAATTAAAATGTTTGACAGTGTTGCGTACACAACTATATGATTAAAATATATTTAAATTAATTTTAGTCACACAATCAAGAAACTCTACCACATGAACGCATTTTTCGTATCACTCCGATGTATCCAGACGATCCAAGATCACCTTTTTTCAACGAAAATGGCAACGAGATGGCTCCTTTAGCTCGCTTACATCTGAACAGAATCAACCTCATACCGAAGTCTTGTTCCGACAAGATTATAACAGATTTAATGGACGAACTCTCAGTGTCAGAGAACTCACAAGATATATTAAGGCGTAAGGATCAGCTTTTGTTTTATTTCTTTCAGTCTATTAGATAATAATAATGCACCTACCTCAATAACAAAACTATAATTTCCATATTAAGATTTAAGGCTATACCTACCTATATCATATTCCGTTAGATTGTGTTCTTTGAACCTTTGTTTAGCTGAATGCGCTGTATCGAAATACTCTGAATGGACCAAGTGCAACGTGGCTTGTGGCAAAGGTCTCAGATCGAGGAACAGAAACTATTTAAATGAGACCGCTGCTCAACAGTTTGGTTGCGACAGACAATTGGTGTCGAAAGAAATGTGCCTGTCTTCGGTGCCCATTTGCCCGTAATTATTTTTATATGATATTATACCTAATAATTTAGTGGTTTTGAGGGAAGTGGGACTAATGAGTAACGAACATGATTTGAAAATAATATTGTAGCTAAGATTTGTTGTGGCACCAGAAATATAAGTAATAATTAATTGTATAATGTATATCCTATTAAACATACTCCTAAATCGGGTGTTTAATTTCTGTGATTTTCAAAGAAAGAAATGTCATGTTGTAAAGCTCGTTTTTAATTCTAACTTTTAATAATATACAGGTATTTACAGTGAATCGTAATAATAATAATGAAATATGTTTGATTTCTGTTACTATATAGTATATATAGGGAATTTTTTACAGCTATATTACTAATATTTTTCATTCACCTCTGTACGATGTAATTGTTGATTTGTTTCTTACTCATAAAAACTAACTTCACGTTCAAAGATTTAACATTAAAAACGAATATATATTTAAAAGATTATTATTTTGTTTGTAGATTAAGTGGTTGATATAGAACTTGAAACATGAGGCTTGTACCTAGTCTTTATTTATCTTTCTAAAAGTTCAAAATGATATCTTAAAAATGTTTATAAGGATTTAGGGCTATTTCTATTCATCTCGATTGAAGATTGTCAACGATAGTTTAATTTTTATCTACTTTGCTACTCGTTAATCCAAAATATTGTACCTTTATATTTTTATTGCTTTACATGTAAATAATTATGATTGGAAAATCATTTTTCATAAACGATGCTTTTGAATTTATTGTGATAGTTTTATTTTTAAATTACCTAGGTATCAGGCACCTACTTTGGATTTTTTTTTGTTTTGATTTAGTGGTGAGACAGAACAGGAAGACGACAGCCTACTAATAGACGATGCTAAATGCAACACCACGGAATGGACACCGATGTCTGAATGTTCAGTGTCATGTGGAATAGGATTCATGTTCCGCACCAGACAATTTTTAGATCACACGAGTTACAAAAAGTGTCGCCACATCGGACTTGTCATGAAAAAGAAATGCATGCAACCAGCTTGCAATAAAGTAGCTGAACAGGTGACTCGAACATTTTAAAAACATATTTCTGAGGCACAAACGTTCTAGAAGAACAATCGTCATATTTGCGCGAATTTTGTAGCAAATTTAGTGGAGGGGCTTATACATTTTACTTTTTAAGCAAATTTGGTTGTATTTGAGGGGATTTAGAAATAAATATAAGAGTCTAAGATTGAGCTAGGTAAACATTAATCGTATAATACAATTATTTGTGTTTTAGTCTTCTTTCACTAGCATGTGCCCGGTAACCGAATGGAGCATGTGGAGTCCGTGCAACGTAACTTGTGGCCAAGGATTGTCGATCAAGTCTCGGTTGTTGCTCGTGTCAGGTGAAAACTACACAAAATGTATCGATAAAGTCGTGCTAGAGGAAACTCGAACATGTAACGGGACGCGGCCCACCTGCGAAATAAACTCGTCTCTCGCAAAAGGTAAATAATAATCAAAATCAAATTACTTATACAAAGTATAATAAAATATCAATGCATATTATGTGAATTGTAAAATATTTACCTATAACTACCTATATATTTCAACTCTAAATAATAGAACGTCTTTAGTTTTTCGAATCAAAGCAATGATTACCTGATAAAAGTATAAAACTGTACCTACCTATATTGTATTCTTGTATATTATAATATTTAACTATTGTAAATATTATTATAAACGGAAATTGCATTTCTAGTTTTCTAGCAACTGGATTGATTTGAACATTAGGTACCTATTTGTTATTAGTTATTACTTATTACCTATGCTTTATTTTACTATTTATAAATAATCGGTCATTAATATATTTAACAAAAAACCAACTTTCTGAATAACAGCCATTGTCGTATCCGTCTTACAAATGTGTCACTAGTCACTACTAATAAACCGAATTTATGCTCAGCAGATCACGTTTGGCTTCTTTAATTTAAAAATTGTCTTACGAAGAAATTTGATGGAAACAATATTGTCTGTGTTTGTACATGAGTTGTTTAGATAGTTCAGTTTTTAAAAGAGTTGGGTATGATCATTTTTAATGTGCCTATAGGCTATATTATAAATTTCAAATTTCTTAAAAATGTAACTATCTTAAAAATACCCACATATCTACAAACACAAATAATATTCTTACTTCTTACCATCAAGTTTCATAATAGATGAAACTCTATAGTCGATTCCCTCCAATTTTTAATCTAACGAAGCCAAACGTGATCTGCTGAGCATAAATTTGCTACGTTCGCACTTGTAAGACGGAAATAACAAATGCCTGTGTAACGTCGTCCTCTTGATGGATGCGTTTACGAACTCATATATTTTCTACTACATAAAAAACCCATCGATGATCAAATGTAAAAGTATGAAATGTTATTTTGGAGTACATAAAATTCTTTTAAAAAAATCAACAAACGTGTGTACGCAGGTATTCAGAAATTTTGAAGTCACTAAAATGTGTTTCTCTAGTGACATTCAATAATTGTAAGATTACTGAAATCATATAACATTTGTTTCAGAATGGGATGAATTTAATAAATAATTACATTTATGATAGTCATTTTTTTCACAATAAACTAGTCTGTTACTATGCTTTGGACGTTCAATTTAAATTTCCGCATTACTGCGAGGATACCTCTATAAAAGTTTTAATTAACAATGTTTTTATTTTATCGAGCTCTTGAAGTATTTTAAACAAATCATATAAATTGCAAAGAAAGATTGTGTGTTTATCATATTCATTAATATTTTCCTCTTAACATACCTACATTCATTACTTATGTACATATAGACTCATAGTGTGCAAATATACGGGCATTGAAGTCATAACCGAGTAACCTGACCTGATTGCATATATGTTCGATTATGTAATACATAGATGTATTTTAAGTATAATACGTGATATCATAAATATAATTTATTCCATTGTGTCTTGTGTATTCGTTAATAATTGAATATTTCATTGCTGCTTTGACTATTATAATTCATATTTCCAACTGTACGTGTGTTTTAAAAACCAAATAAACCTCACTGTCAACAATTTGTCCCCTTGAATTGAATACTTCGTAGAATATTCAACCGCGACCACTGATATAACGAATAAGTTGAATGCGCGAAAATAGATGATGAGATAGATGAGCTTTTTTTTTTTTGCTTCACATAATATAATAGAGGTTTGGACTGTTTGGTTTTTAATACTAGCTCATGTCTGTAACGCTCAAACATAAACACGCATCATAGTTAAGTACCTATTTATAATGATAAATGACTTTCAACGTTTTAGCAATAAATAAAACTATACAACAAGAAAAAAGTGTAATAATAAAATAATTCTGTAATGTTATAGAAGTCGAATTTATAGGCTCCTGATACAAATGTGACATAGGTTTTGTGAAAGACTGTAGATTTCCACAAAAATAAATCATAAGTCTATTTTTCTTTTTTTTTTCAGAAATATGTAGCATGGACAAAAATGAAGGAGCTTGTAACGTGAACGCTGTGCGTTATTATTACGATAAAGCATTTAAGACTTGTAAACAGTTCAAATACGGCGGATGCCGGGGCAATGAAAATAATTTTAAAAGTGCCAAAGAATGCTATAAAGTTTGCCACGGTGTGGTATGAAGAAATTACGTAGCTACTTCAATAATAAGTATCGTTAGGTAGTAGAGTTATAAGATACATAATTATAATGCATCAATATATTATATATTTTTAATATGTGTGTACAATAGGACAGAATAGGCGAAACTTATATCTTATACGTACACTTATTTAACTTGGCGATCATAATTAACCAACATTTGACTGTAGAACCGTGATTATATATTATTTCCTTGAGTTGTGCAATTTGTTTAAAAACCGTTCGTGTATTTGTACGTCATCAGAACCATTCATTTTGTATTCATATAACATTTTTATTGTTTATTACTATTGAAAAATAAAAACATTTTATTCATATCGAATGTCGTCATTAATATCACTTTTCCATTTTGGTTTTCGATTATGAGGTCCTGGGTCTTAAAATCTTTTGTTATAACTTATAAGGGTAGCTATATAACATGTTAGACTATATTCACATATTATTGTGGGCTGATTTCAAAGTGTCTCTACCTATTTTATAATTTATATAGATGTTTACCAGCAATTAAAGCATTATAGTTAATAATTTATGAGTATATATGTCATAATTTATAATGAAGTATAATAGGTTTTAGGTGTTTTAACTATTATTTTTATTAGTTGGAATGTTTGTTTCCATTTCACGAGTTTAAACTGGTTTATGTTGTTAGGGAAATTCTTATTAAATATAACCTAACATTTTTTATCTAATTAATATTTTAATTGATACAATTCTGCAACTATCAGATTAAAACTATGAATCAAATTGTTTTACATTAATTCGGGAGTACTTACTTCTCTGGACCAGTAAAAAAAAGTATTATTAGGTATTGTGCTTGATTAAATTCAACATGTAATATTTATTGAACAAGTACAATAAATGAATACGAACAATTTAATTTAGTGAACCAAATTTTTAATTAGTTTGTTTCAGTTTTTTTTTGACCTCGGAAATGACGTAATATCCTTACGATTACAAGAATAAAATGATTGCATTTTGATTATTAAATAGATAAATTTAGTGTTATCGGTATACATTTTTTGTAAAAAAAATAATTAAGTAGATGTATAAAAGACCTAACTGTTAAGTAATGGTTTTCACAATACTTCACGAGGGGAGGGAATTTCAAATTTCTCATACATATGTATATTTTATATCTTATGGGGGGGCTGGTGAGATTGTATAATGACTATTACTTGCTTATCGGTTATCTATTTTTTCACGATAAAATATAATGTACATTGTATCACAGTAGTGACTAATAGTAAACCAGTATAAAATCGCCTCCCATCTGACCCTCGAATTTCTTCATAATTCCAAAAATATCTTTAACTTGAATTGCCTCCTATTTTAAGTAGTAACCTTTTTGTACTGCAATTGCCTCCAATAGCTGTAATTAATCAATTTTTAATTCAAAATACGAACATTAATCTTTTTTTAATTAAATACCATTGTGAGCGCTTATACGACATTATTTGTGTATTATAAGATTATAATACACAAATTATAATTTTGGTACTTACCAAAGCCTGGCAAGTTTAATTTCAAGTGTAAAAGTTAACTGTTAACTTATAGAGTGGTTTATACAAACAAAATACAATACTGAACTAAACATCTGTCAAAAAAAAAATTATGGCTTCATTGATATAAAATAACATGCTATAATTATTGCATTTAATACCTTTTGACAAATATTATGGTAATGAAATAAATTTAACCATAGTTTGTATACAGTAGTCAGAAATATAATAAATGTAATATAATATGGCTTTTTTACATCTTCATCTTAAACAAATGTAAGTAAAAAATATTAAATTAAGCTATGTTCGAATATAAAAAAAGAGCAAATGTCAGAGTTGGGTAGGCCATTAGGGTTGTCTCCGAATTTTGAAGTTGTAAGGTTTAATTACATCACATTTAACTAAATAAATATATCAGTTTTATAAACGTATACCTATACGATATTTAAAATGTACAATTTTAGGTATCTGCCTAGGTTACTACCAACATAGCACATACCGTCCTGCACATACATGATACACAATATACAACTGCACGGCGTAAATCCATGAGGGCTTAAGTCAACATAATAAATAGTTCAAACTAGGGCACGGGAGTTGTAGGAGTTGTAAATTATTCTATGTGCTCTCGATGTATAGCAGATTAAGCTATAATCTGGGCTATACAGTGGCGAGTTTAAAAATACAAAATTTAAATTTCATGTTTTGTCAATTTTAGGGGACAAGTGCATATTTCTTGATTTTCACACGTATATTAGGTATGCATAGTATTTTATATTTTCTACAAAATTTGATCGTTTTCTTTCTTAAGCTGAGTATTTTAATAATAATATTGAATATAAAACTCAACATTACTTAATGTATATATTTATTGTAATCGTTGCAGTCAACTCTTCATTTAACGACAACGGTGCAATGTGCATTTAATGTCTATCGCACTATAATATTCTGATGTAATATCTTTTCAAATATTTTTTTTAAACTATTTTTTCAGTTCAATAAAATGTCAAAATGGCAAACAGTTTTCAGCTATATTTGAAATAAAATAAACTTATGGTTCCATATTTTTAATTTCTTTTAGTGAAAATTAATAACACCATACAATGGTTTTTTTTTGGAATTTTTATGGATATTTATTACATTTTTTATGCATAGGTATTTTACATTTTTTAGCCCTTATAACTTCCAAGCCTTATTCACGAGTATTAAAATCCATAAGTTTAAAACATAAATAGAATTTTTCATTTTTAATCAAAACATATCGATAATGTTATTTATTTGTTCCTAATACAAATGTACTCTACCTATTTCAGATCTAGGCTAGACCTCGGCTGATATTATATAATGTTACGGTTTATTATATTAATAATTATGTAAATAATAAGAAAATCTATAACAATGTGTTATAATATTAATAAACTGAAATCTTTATACTTCCTAATTAATAATTATAAGAAAAAAAATTAATTCTTAGTTCATCTAATTAAGATATCATATAAAAATCATATTTTATTAATATGTATTTTCTATTGCATATCTTTATCTTTATAATGTGGGTCATAAGACTCTATGACCTCATTTATTGGGTGGTTTTTATTAGCAAAGCTTCCCCCTCAATAGTAACTTAAATAATTTTCTTACAAAGTTGATATTCTAAAATATATTAAGCAAAATAATGGTTGTATAGGTACTTATTAAATATTGTTAGTCAAATACCTATAGAATACATTAATATTGTGTTCCCTCAATAATATTATAATTTAAGAATTACGTTAATAGCTGCATATAATCGGTTGGTTAAATGTATCAAAACATTCCATTAAGATAAATAGTAAATATATTTAAGATTTCAAAATTATAAGTGAAATTTCTTTTAAAATTAAAGGTTGCAGGATTATACAATTATATTAAATATTCATAAAGTATATAAATTATAATAAATGTAAAGAAATGAATTAAAAAAGGTTGACATTATTGAAATTATAAGAAAATGGTATTTAAAATTTAAAACAATAGTTTAGGTAAAATGTGACTGATATAAGACAAACTAGGTGGGACAGTTTTATTTTGAAAAACATACAAATTTCTAGCAATAGGTTCTAAAATATAAATCTGTTTTACTGTTACTGGCTACACTATTTGCAATTATTTAAGCAATGTTAATAATAACAGAAAGGTTATCACTTTGTAGAATAGGTAGTAGGTTTTTGAGTAGTAGGTAACTTTTTATTGAGTAAGTTACCGTAATAGATGTGTATAAATTTGAAAAGTCTGTTAATATATTTCTAACGATATTTTCTATTAATTTTACGTTAAAGTGCACTCATTTATGCCGAAAAAAATGTGTTTATCCATCTCAAGTTTAACCTATGAACCATATTATTATAGGCACCGTTATTTATTTTCAAATTTAGAGCGATATCGGAAGTATAATGTTTATATGTAAAATCTAGTTACGTATAATATTATTTTAACGATATTAACTTATAACTACCCTCTATTCGAAATGCAGTATTGCAACGGAATTGAAAATCCCAAAAATGTCCTAGATACATACAATTTAAAAAATACATATAACAATATATCAAGTGAAAGAATTTAAAAAGTGGGTCGTTGTAAAATATGAGTTAAGTTAAGATTAAATTACCTACCTACATATAAAATCATTGTTTACGAAAAACTATTCTGAGCGAAGACTGTCTATCAGCCTATAATATTACTAAGTATATATTATGATATGTTTGTTATTAAAGTAATTTATTTTAGTATTAGATATTAGTTATTCAGTAGGTATAAATTTGATCTTAAAGTATCTATAAAAAAAATCTGTGTTTACATACACCATTGTAAAATTAATACATTTATCGCTCCGCTCAAAATATAAAATTATAAATTATTTCTATCATTAATTAAGTAATTAATTCTATATCGTGTATAGAAATCGTACCAATAGTAAATGTATTAATATTATGATTGTATATATATATACATATATATATATATATATGACAAAAATTAAAGAACACTTTATAAAATGTGTGGAATAAGTTTTAGTTGGCAGAAGTTATAAAAAAATATCAAAAAATGTAAAAAATGCAAAATTAAAATCATATGTTTTTATTTCAAACTTTGTCGTTTATATATTTTAAATACTTTAAATTTATATAAGATTGAATTAAGAAGGGTTTTGTTTTAAATTATGAAGCTTCTTCACTGAACAACAATCCAAACATTTCAAATAACTAAAAGTAAATTAAAATTGTATAAGACATTATTTTTATGTAAAGTATAGTCTTCTTGCTTTTAAGTTGATTTTCTTTATCTTATATTAAAACTCTAATAATAAGCTTATTATTGTAATATGTTCATCACAAATGTATTATCTATCTGTACTCAAGCCTATATTGAGTAAACTTAATAAACATATAAATAATTACAAATATTATTAAATATTTTAAAAATTGCATTATGTTAAGCAAATGATAATTTAAGTGTAAGTGGAATATTTATAGTTTCCACTGCTAATACTTTTCTGAACTACTACGTCATAATAACTAAAATCGTTGAATGAAAAATTATTATTTATTGCATAAATGTGTGATTACATAAAAATTTGAACTTTAAACGCTTGAACAATTATAGGATGGGTCTAATATATACTTTTTAATTTTTCTAAGGAAAACTTATCATTTATTATGAACCTTATTTCAATTTTCAAACCGTTGGTACTAAAATTATTACATATTGTTTTATAATATTACTATCCATCACATTATTATTATAATTATTTTTTGACTGTATTACTACTGACAGAACAA